CTCTTCCGGTGGCCGCGCGCCGCGGGCGCAGAGAACGCCGGGAAGCGTAGTTCCCGAGCCCCTTCCGGACGGCGCAGGCGCGAGGGCCGCAAACAGACGACAGCGGCAGAGCTGACAGACAGCTGGGCTCTTTATTATCTCTCACGGGCACCGCGGAGCCCCCAGGCGGGCGGGCGGGTGGGCGTCCCCGGCCTCCTCGACCTGGCCTGGAGGAAGCGGCCGCGGTGGCTAGGGCCCCTCGCTGGGTGGCGCCCTGGGCTCTTTGTCCCGGGGCTGCCCCTCCGGGGGCCCGCACTCAGGGTGGGCTGCAGGGGCGGCTGCCAGGCTCTCCTCCTGAGCAGGAGTAGCAGGATGCTGCGGGGCTGCAGCCGGGAGCTCGGGCACCAGCTCCTGGTCATCTAAAGAGAAGTCCGGCTCTCTCTTAGGCAGGATAAAGGCCAGAGGCTCCTGGATGACGCTGATGTTGACACGCCCAAGGTTGCCGTACTTGGCGAGCTGGCTGGGGGGAATGCCTAATCAGATGGTAGAAAAGCAAAATGGAAAAAAAAAATCATTAATACAATCTAGTGCCAAGGTCACAGGGGAAGAAAAACACGGGACAGAATGGACAAAATTATGTATTTCAGGGGCTGGGAAGGTGGCTCAGTGGTAGAGTGCTTGCCTTGCATGCATGAGGCCCTGGGTTCGATTCCTCAGCACCACGTAAGCAGAAAAAAAGCCGGAAGTGGCGCTGTGGCTAAAGTGGTAGAGCGCTAGCCTTGAGCTGAAGAGCTGAGGGACAGCGCCCAGGCCCAGAGTTCAGGCTCCATGACCGGACCCCAAAAAAAAAAAAAATTATATATTTCACTCTAGTCAAAACCACTTCTGTGATAAAGAAGCGATACTGAGAAGCAGCAGGAAAGTAAAAAGTAGCTCCATGGAGGGTGTGAGGAGCCAGAGTCAGGAGCAGCTCAGTAGGGCCCAGCTTCCTGAGAAGGGAAGGCATGGCCAAGCTCAGTGGTGTCCTCACCCCTGCCTTTTGGGGAGCTATGGCGCCTCCTCCACCTCTGCAGCTCTACAAAGGAAGAGGAGGCAAATTGGGAGAAAGGTGCTTAAGACTGCTCTTCTGGCTATTTCATATAAAGGAATCACACAGTCGTATGTGATGGATTCTTCCACAAAACCAGGATATGATGCCCTTTCTGTAATGTGTCCAGAAAAGGCGGAGCTAAAACAACCCAAGGGAGTTAGCCAGTGGCTAAGCATGCAGTTGAGGGAATGAGAGATCTTTTGGGGTGACAGGAATGTTCTAAAATTGGATGCTGGTAATGATCATACACCTTGGTACATTTGCTTAAAAAACTCGTTTTTTCTCTTACCTAAAGTCTGTGCTATCTGAGCCGGCGGGAAAAGGACCTGAAGGCAGCGATTTACATAAGGAGCCAGGTCTTCCAGGAAGACAGTGCAGAACTGGACAAAGAGCTCCTGCTCCCCGCTGCTGAAGGCGGCCTCCTCCGCACGATGGAAGGCCAGGATTATTTTGGTTACCTATGAGACAAGGGCACCAACAATACTAGCAGTGGGTGACAGAGCACAGCCATGCAGCCCTCCCGTTTCCAGGAAGTCACTGACAGAGCAGTATGTTGTATTTCTGTGTTGCTCAACCTCAGACGTTATCTCTATCGCCTCGCTGACGATGATTATTTATGCACACTTTCCAGCTCCGGTGGAAGAAGTCATGGAACGATGGAGATACAAGAGTCTTATCATCGTCAGGCTGGCGGGACTGTGTGGGTCCAAGAAAAGGAAGGCATTCACTTTTTTTTTTTTGGTCGTGGGGCTTGAACTCTGGGCTTGGGCGCTGTCCCTCAGCTCTTCAGATCAAGGCGAGCACTCTACCACTTAAGCCACAGAGACACTCCCGGTTTTCGAGTGGTTTATTGAAGATAAGAGTCTCATGGACTTTCCTGCGCTGGCTGGCTTTGAACAGCGATCCTCAGATCTCAGCCTCCTGAGTAGCTACGATTACAGGCTTGAGCCACCGGCACCTGGTAAGACCTTCACTTTGAATTAGTCATGGGGGAGATCCTCCTGGATGGGTCTGGCTTAGTCGAACCTTTTGAAATGGGGTATATGAGACTGAAGTAGGGAAGATACTCTCCTGCTGGTCTTTGAGGTCAAGAAGGTTGGGAGAGTCGGGCATCAGTGGCTCACGCCTGTAATACTAGCTACTCAGGAGGCTTAGATCTGAGGATCTCAGTTCAAAGCCAGCCTGGGCAGAAAAATCCATGAGACTCTTATCTCCAATAAATCATCAGTGGCACTGTGGCTCAAGCGGTAAAGCGCTCACCTTGAGCTGAAGAGTGCAGGGACAGTACCCAAGCCCAGAGTTCAAGCCCCACGACTGACACCAAAAAAAAAAAAGGTTGGGAGCTGCCTCTGGAAGGGCCAGTTTCTAGGCGCTAAGGGTCATGGTTTTGCGATTTCTACCGTAGCACAGAATTAACCTGCCAACCAGAATGAGTCGCAAGGGAGTACTGAGCTCCAGGTGACAGCAAAGGCTGGCTGACACCCTGAACACAGCCTGTGATCTCCTGAGCACAAGACCCACAGAGGTCGCACCTGAGCGACTCATTCACAAAAATGGAAATAAGAAATGTGCTGTTTTGGAGCTGGAAGTATAAATGGCAAGAATGTCAGCTGTGACCAGAAAAAGCTAAGTAAGCCAGATACTAGTAGCTCACACCTGTGATCCTAGCTACCCAGGAGGCTGAGATCTGAGGATTGCAGTTCGAAGCCAGCCCAGGCATAAAGATCAATATAACTCTTATCTCCAATTAAATGCTAAAAAAACTAGAAGTGGAGCTGTGGCTCAAGTGGTAGAGCACTAGCCTTGAGCAAAAAAGCTCAGGGTCAGTGGCCCAGGCCCTGAGTTCATGTCCCAGGACCAGCACCTAGCACCCCCCTCCCCACGAAAGCCAAACACTCATCAAAAAACTAGTACTATAAACTATTTTTCACTACAGCATAAGGTGTAATAGTTTCATGAAACTTAAAATCCTAAGTAAACTGTTTAATTTTCCAGATGGTTGTCCCATGACAAACAAATAAGAAAAAGCTGGAAGTGGCACTGTGGCTCAAATGGTAGAGTGCTAGCCTTGAGCAAAAGAGGTTCAAGGACAGCGCCCCAGGCCCTGAGTTCAAGCTCCAGGACTGGCAGAAAAAAAAGAAAGAAAAAACTGAGTGAGAGCATGGGCCCCCATATTTAAGCCCTGGGACTGGCACAGAACAAAAGAAAGAAATGTGTTGTTTTAACCTAAATTCAAAGAATGTTTTTAAAAAATAAAGCAACTGGGGCTGGGAAGGTGGCTCAGTGGTAGAGCACTTGCCTTGAATGCATGAGGCCCTGGGTTCGATTCCTCACCACCACATAAGCAAAAAAGAAAAAAGCCGGAAGTGGCGCTGGGGCTCAAGTGGTAGAGCGCTAGCCTTGAGCTGAAGAGCTGAGGGACAGTGTCCAGGCCCAGAGTTCAGGCCCCACAACCGGACCAAAAATAAATAAATAAATAAAGCAACTGGCCGGGCACCAGTAGATCACACATGTAATCCTAGCTACTCAAGAGGCTGAGATTTGAGGATCCCCATTCAAAGCCAGCCCAGGCAGGAAAGTCCATGAGATTCTTATTTCCAATTAACCATCAAGATCCATGACTGACAATAAATAAATAAATAAAGCAACAGAAAACACACTACTGATTTGTTACCACAGGTGAGCCATTTCATAGCTTGTTCTAGGCCCCATAAAGGGGATATTCAACCATAACCTAGAAAATTCTGACAGATCACTAAACCTCTCCAACTAAGGCACCAGTTATAGGGACTGCTTTACTAAATAAGTCTTCCTACCAAAGAACGTCTAGGATAATAGAAAACCAGTGAACGCCCTTACCTTGGCAAGGGCGTCCTCCAAGATCCTTGTCACATCCTGAGCGAGGGCCACTGGGCAGCAGAGACGCAGGTCATTGAAGGCAACCAGGACGTTGTTGAGGAAACAGGCAAGGGGCGGGAAGTCTAAAAGCACCATTGGTGGTTGCAGCGTCCCCGGCTGAGTGGCTGGAATGGCAGCAGGCATGTTACTGCTGCCCAGTATGGCTGGAGCTGAGATGAGGGTGTAGGAGTTCATTTCATCCTGGAATTTCTCCACCGCTTCTTGAATCGCTTTCTGAAAAGTGGTGATGGCCACCCGCTGAAAGACAGGAGCCAACTGGCCCCGGAAATCAGCCCCCACCCGGCTGAATGACAAACCGAAGTACATGCACTGGCCCAGCAGAGAGTCTAGGCGGCCACCAATCCCGCGGTGAAGGTCAGCCTCCAGCACCTGCAGGAACTGGGAGACTTTCTGCAGCACCCAGCCGTGGAAGATGGCGCCCTCGTTCACGGTGTGCTCACCCATGGCAGGGGGCAGCAGGGGGTCTTCATCTGAGAAGATGGCCCGGTACTGGGTGATGATATCAAAGAGATGCACCCGGCAGGCCTCAATGGTCTTTGTGATATGGAAATAGGGATCATCATTTGGGATGGCAGTCAGGATGGAGCGGAGCCAAGCATCTCGGGCCTGAAGAAACTTCACCCGTAGCTCAGCCTCAGTGAAGACATCCATGCGCCTCAAGTAGCCAATAACACGCAGGCAGGCAGGCAGCTGGATGTTGGTCCTCAGTTGCTGGCTCAGCTGGCTCAGCATCAGCTGCATGGACTGGCGCACTTCATTCACAATGCCCTGACAATATAGCGAGTGAGTCACAACACACTGGCGAAGAGTCTCCGGAGCCCTTCCCAGTAACCCTCAACATTGGAGACTGACATTCACCCAGCTCTCTCCACACATAAAGTGGACTTCTAAAGCTGATATCTGAAAGTCTGGTTGGCTAACTTTTGGGGAGGGAGACAGTACTGGGGCCTAATGTCTGCTGGGCTGGCTAATGCTGCTGATCTGTGCCTCCAGGCCTGTTTTTCGTTGGTTTTTAGGACGGAGGGTTCTCTCTACCCATCAGAGTGCGCCTGAGCCACAATCGGCCTACCATGGGCTTCCATGTTCTCAGGGATCATACTGCTACGTCCAGCTTCCTCTGCATGGAGATAAGGCTGGCCTGGTGCCACCGCCCTCACTAAGCCTTCCACGTGAACTGTACATTAATTCACGCCTACACCCCGGGCACTCAGAATCAGAGATCAGAAGGACATCTGTTTGAGGCCAGCCTGAGAAAAGTTAATAAGACCCCCATCTCAATAAATAAGTATCATGGCACGTGCCTGTAGTATGAACTACACAGGGCATAGGAGAACCACAAAGAAAAATAAAGATACTGCTTGGAAATGGCCTGGGGGCCTGGCTTATATGGTAGATTGCCCACCTAACAATGTGAGATCCGAGTTCAAACCCCAGAACCTCAACAAACAAAATGAACTGAAATGTGTAAAATTCTCCAAGGACTTCCAATGGCATTCAATAAAATTCGAACTACTCACCGTAGCCTCCAGGCCCTGCTGGTTTTCCACTTGCATGTACCATTACTCAATACAGTCCACCAACACTGGCTTCAGATCCCTTAAGTACTCCAAATCCCGTTTGGCCTTTCTACTCTGCTCACCCTAGCTCTTGTCATCATTTGTTTCAGCTTAAATGCTGTTTTAAAGGCTTTTCCTGATATTCTACTTAAAGTAACTGACCTTACTCTTTTCCTTCTACACTGTTTATTAACTGACTGGTAAGTGAGCTTAAACTCAGATTCCCACACTTGCAGATAAGCGCTTGACCACTTAAGCTCTGCCCCAACCCACGTTGGTTTATTTTCTTCAGACATCACCATCTGAAGTTATATTATTTACTTAATATCAATTATAAGATTTCTGTTAGAATGTACACATCACCACAATCATGGTTGACTACTTTGGTTATACGTATCCTCAACACCTAGATTAGTGCTAGAACATGACTAAACTGTACCTTTGAACAGATGATTGAATGAATGAATGGGTAAATGAATGAATGGAGTGTGTTTTCTGTTCCAGCCTGCCTGGGCAGAAACTGATGGGAAACATGCAATGGCTTCTCAGTCATTGGCCAGGCACCAGTGGCTCATACCTGTAATCCTAGCTACTCAGGAGCCTGAGAGCTAAGGATCATGGCTCAAAGCCAGCCCAGGCAGGAAAGTCCAAGGGACTCTTAGCTCCAATTAACCACCAGAAAACAGGAAGTGGGGCTGTGGCTCAAGTGGTAGAGCACTTGCCTTGAGCTGAAGAGCAGAGGGACAGCGTCCAGGCCCAGAGTTCAAGCCCCACAACCGGCCAAAAGACAAAAAAAAAAGTTCAGTCACTAGAAGTGAAAAGATGGCCCGGTGCCAGTGGCTCACGCCTGTAATCCTAGCTAAGCTCAGGAGGCTGAGATTGGAGGATCATGGTTCAAAGCAAGCCCGGACAGGAAAGTCCATGAGACTCTTATCTCCAATAAACCACTAGAAAACTAGAAGTGGCACTGTGGCTCAAGCGGTAGAGCGCTCGCCTTGAGCTGAAGAGTGCAGGGACAGCCCCCAAGCCCAGAGTTCAAGCCCAATGACTGCCAAAAAAAAAAGTGAAAATATGGCTCAAGTGATAGTACTAGGCACCAGCAGCTCACGCCTGTAATCCTAGCTATTCAGGAGAGTGAGATCTGAGGATCAGGGTTCAACTCCAGACCAAGCAGGAAAGTTTGAGACTCATTTCCAGGTAAGCACATACATATACACAAAAGCGTTCGGGAAGTGGAGCTGTGGCTCAAGTGGCAAAGAGTTTGGGCACAAAAACTCAGGTACAGTGAGTTCAAGCCCCAGGACCAGTATGAAAAAAGAAAAAAGGTCACTACCACAGAATTAATGATGTAAGAACTATAGCTTGCTGCCTACCTGGATAACGGGGATGGAGGAGTATTTCCTTTCAAGTCGACGTACATAAGTGGCAAGCTCCAGGGCCTCTTCATAATAGCTGTTCCGGACACAAGTGTCCATGAGCTGAGGAATCTCCAAGATTTCCAAGATTTCTGTATGCCGGTTCAAAGTGAGGGTGTTCATCCGGCGATTGGAGCTGATCTCCTCGGCCTCCTTCACAAAATTCCTAGAACCAATTAGGAAAATGTTGCTCCCTCACACTCCTGTACACCCAAATCTTAGCTTGTTACCAAGCACTTAACTGGGAAAATAGCTGGGCTGGATGATTGATCAGATTTAATCCTCACACCAAAGAAGGTTAACTGCTACCAGCCAAGAAGAAACTCAAGTCACAGAGGCTAAGAACTTACCCAAATCACCCCGGTAAAAAGGGGCTGATAGATCTGAATCAATGTGACAACAGATTTCTATCAGTGGGTGTTTTGGAGTTAACTTCTGATGATCCAAACTATTATAAGTGTGTGTGTGTGTATACATATGTGTGTACAGCCACAGAAACGTGCATATACGTTAAGCTGACTTTTTTCGGTGTTTCAACGGGCTACTACAGGGTCGGCCGCGCGGCGGGCGTGAGCTGTCGGGTCAGGAGCCCGGGCGCCAGCCCGCCCACCTGCAGCTCTGCTGGAAGCCGGGCAGGCGGCCCAGCAGGCGGCCGAGCGCCTCTTCCACGTCGCCGAAGAGGCGATGGATGCGCTCGGTACACTCAGCGCCGCGGATGAAGGTCTTGTAGTTGGCGAAGGCCAAGTCCCGCGTCTGCTGCAGCAGCTGCGCCCGCTCCTCCGCCAGGCGCTCCGGCTCCCGCCGCAGCCGCTCCAGCCCCGAGCCGCTCAACTCCCGGAGGTAGCGGCCCACGTCGGGCCTCTCCCGCCACTGGGCCTCGGGGAAGCGGTCCCGGAACAACGACGCCAGCAGACCCTCATCCTCCACCTCCCCAAGGGCCGACGCCGTAGTCGAAGTCGGGACAGTCTCCACCGCCGCCATCTTCCAAGCAGCCCGGTGACTTCCCCGTCCCCACCAGCGAGGGCGCCGGCTCCGCACGTAGGAACGGAAGTAACAGGAACCCACTTCCGGTCTCTATGGTTGCACTCCCGCCGGCGGTCCTCCCCGCTAGGGGGCAGCCGTGGGAGAAACCGACTAGGAAGGGGATAGAGAGGCCGGCTTTGGGGTTGCCAGGGAGCAGCTGGCCGTCGACTTCCGTTTCCGGTTCCTGAGGCACGAGGATCCGGTGGTCCGACCCAGCGGCAAGATGCGGCCTTTGACTGAAGAGGAGACCCGGGTGATGTTCGAGAAGATCGCGAAATAGTAGGATGGCGGGAGGGGGGCGAGGCGGTGGGTGTCGGGCGGGCGGGGATGGCTGCGGGCGGGCGAGGCCTCTCGGGCGCAGCCTCCAGTCCCGTCTTTGCCCCCAGCATCGGGGAGAATCTGCAGCTGCTGGTGGACCGGCCCGACGGCACCTACTGCTTCCGGCTGCACAACGACCGAGTGTACTACGTGAGGTGAGCCGGAGCCGGCCGGGCGCGGGGCTGGCCGGGAGCCGGGTCCCTCCGCCTCCGCTCACCCACCCGCCACTTCCTTTGTGCTTTGAAGTGAGAAGATCCTGAAGCTGGCCGCCAACATCTCTGGGGACAAGCTGGTGTCGCTGGGGACCTGCTTTGGAAAATTCACGAAGACCCACAAATTCCGCCTGCACATTACAGCTCTGGATTTCCTTGCGCCCTATGCTAAGGTCTGTGGAGGGACTGCTCTACATCTTACCACAGGGGATGAGGCCACATCTAGATCAGAACACAGGGCCATGCGGTTCCTGTCACTGCCAGCAGACGGATATGTCCGTAGGGTTTGCAGCATGGATGGGCATGATTAGAGCGATGGTGCTGGTGTGCCCAGCCAGCTGCTGGTGTAATTAGCCCAACAGAATCAAAACGTGCGGACCCGGCTCAATACTGGAGAGTAATAGACAAGTAGTTGGAATGAGGACAGCATCAGAGTGCAAGAAAAAAAAGGCTGCCGGGCACCAATGGCTCACACCTGTAAATCTAAGATATTCTGGAGGCTGAGACCTGAGGATCATGGTTTGAAGTCAGTTTAGACAGGCATATCTGTAAGACTCATCTCCAGTTAACCACCCAAAATCAGCAAGTGGAGCTGTGGCTCAAGTGTGTGGAGCACTGGTGTTGAACAGAAAGGGACAGCATCCAAACCCTAATTTCAAGCCCCAGGACTGACACCAAAAAAAAAAAGGAGAAGAAGAAGAAAAAGAGCTGTTAATAAGTCCATGAAGTGGGGCTGGGAAGGTGGCTCAGTGGTAGAGTGCTTGCCTCACATGCACGAGGCCCTGGGTTCGATTCCTCAGCAAAAAGAAAAAAGCCGGAAGTGGCGCTGTGGCTCAAGTGGTAGAGTGCTAGCCTTGAGCTGAAGAGCTGAGGGACAGCGCCCAGGCCCAGAGTTCAGGCCCCCATGACCGGACCCAAAAATAAAATAAAAATTAGAGTTAAAAAAAAATAATAAGTCCATGAAGGTAAATGGCTTGTAGAGTTGAGGGAAGAACTTAATGGCAGTGTGTTTGAGGAATGAACAACTTAATGGAAACACCTTTCTCTTCTCCCTTTCATCCTCCCTCCTTTCATGTCTGTCTCCAGGCACAACATCAGCAGCTGATTTACCTGCAGAGAGATAAAGCATCTTTTTTGTTGTTTGATTTTCATTCTGGTCTTTCAGTATAAAGTGTGGATAAAGCCTGGAGCAGAGCAGTCCTTCCTGTATGGAAACCACGTGTTGAAATCTGGTTTGGGTCGAATCACTGAAAATACTTCTCAGTACCAGGGAGTGGTGGTGTACTCCATGGCAGATGTCCCTTTGGTGAGTAGAGTTGGGAACTTCTAGGAAGGACTTTTAGTTTCTGTCATCAAACATGGACCTAAGTCTGCTTATATTTAATATAGAGCATTACCCTGTATGGTTGGAAAAGGGTTAGGTTTTTCATTTCTGTTCCTTTATGGCTATTCACTTCTGTACAATGCCAGTTCAACCCATTAAAATGGGATACTTTTTTTTTTCTCCAAATTTATAGTACAACTAAATTTTGCAAAAATTGAAATTCTACGTATATGATTGTATTAAGAAGACCAGTATTGGGCTGGGAATGTGGTTTAGTGGTAGAGTACTTACCCAGCATGCATAAAGCCCTAGGTTCAATTCCTCAGTACCACATAATCAAATCACAAAGACATTTCAGCATCCCACATTTAAACACCAGAATACAGTAAAAGTCAGTCATCATCTGGAAAGAAAACATTCTAGAACAATGTAATCATAAACAGCTCTCATAAAGCACTGTTGCTACTATGTATAAAGCCAGTGCACAATATTTGTTCACTCAGGTATGATGTACTGTTGTATATCTGTAATAGTAGAGAATACAACTAAAAGGACATGATTTCAGATTTGTTTCTAATTTCCCAGCAGTAGGCTGTACCAGTGCTGGTAGAACCCAGCACTGTAAAGATGGTCAGCTGTGGTGGTTCATACCATCCTCACAGGAGGCATAGGTAGAAGAACGAAATTCTCAGACCAGCCCTGAGCAGAAGTGGGAAACCTTATCTAGGAAAAATAAAGCCAGGCACCAGTGGCTCACCTCTGTAACCCTAGCTACTCAGGAGGCTGAGACCTGAGGATCATAGTTTGAAGCCAGCTCAGGCAAGAAAGTCTGTGAGACTCTTATTGCCAATAAATTACACCTCTCCCCCCCCAAAAAAAAAAAAAAAAAAGCTGGAAATAGGCTGTGGCTCTAGGGGTAGAATACCAGCTTTGAGCAAAAGAAGCTGAGAGACAGCACCCAGGCCCTGAATTCAAGCCCCAGGACTGGCAAGTAAATTAAATATAAAGAAGGGGGTAGGAGCTGGGCCCCAGTGGCTCACACCTGTAATCCTAGCTACTCAGGAGGCTGAGATCTGGGTTCAAAGCCAGCCCGGGCAGGATAGTCTGTGAGACTCTTATCTCTAATAAACCACTAGAAAACTGGAAGTGGCACTGAGGCTCAAGTGGTAAAACACTTGCCTTGAGCTGAAGAGTGCCCAAGCCCAGAGTTCAAGCCGATGGGCAAAAAAGAAGAAGGGGGTAGGGTTTAAGTGTAGAGCACCTGAGGAGTGTAAGACTTTGGTCTAAACTCGAGAAATAAGCATGCACTTTCTTACATAGGATTTCTTTTCATTAGTGGCATGGTTCAAAATACTTTCTTTATAAACATGAGTTAAAACTATGTTATAATTTCCAGCCCACAGCATTGGCTTAGTAAATAAGTGAATTAGTGTTTCTTTCTCTTTTTTTTTTGAATCTCAGGGTTTTGGGGTAGCAGCCAAGTCTACACAAGACTGCAGGAAAGTAGACCCCATGGCAATTGTGGTATTTCATCAGGCGGACATTGGGGAGTATGTACGGCATGAAGAGACGTTGACTTAACGTGAAATCATCCCAAGGACTAAGGCTGTGTGGAAGGACTAGCTTTGTTTCCAGTGTCTGTGCAGATGCCTCCATCCTGTTGGGTTTTATCAACACTGACTTCCGTGGAGACTTCTTACTTTGATCTTCTAGTGCCGACAAGTGCAGGCTGGATTCATACTCTACAGAAGGGGCTCAAAAGTGGAGAATCAGATATAAAACAAGCCTGAGCTTGACTCAGAAATCCAAAAGTAAAAAGTGGGGTTTCAGATTTTATATTTTTGATGAAATAGAATGTTCTTATTCTGTACTTGAATCAAGGCTTCTTGTTCTGAGTAGTCAGTCCTAAATTGTTGAACCAGGACAAGAGGAGTTATTGTTATCTGTGATAGCACTGTTCATTTTCTTTGTTGTGATTAGCAGCGTGCAAGAGAAGACGTTGCCATATAGAAATAGTAGGCCACTCTGCAAATGAAATTTAGCTAAAATAATTTTCCTATATAGTTAGCACTGTATAGAAAGTATATGGAAGAAAAGCTTGGATTAAAACTCCATTTCTGCCTGCCAGCTTAGTGGTCTTAAATCAGTCACTCTTGATGTGTTTATAAAATGTGCAACTTGAGCCAGATACCAGTGGCTCACACCTGTAATCCTAGCTGCTCTGGAGGCTGAGATCTTAGGATCATGGTTCAAAGCCAGCCTGGGCAGGAAAGTTCGCGAGACTCTTATCTCCAATTAACCACCAGAAAACAAGAAGTGGCGCTGTGGCTCAAAGTGGTAGAGCACTAGCCTTGAGCACAAAACCTTAGGAACAGCACCAGGCCCTGAGTTCAAGCCCCACAACCCAACAACAAAAAAGAGATGTACAACTTGACTTTTGTCATCAACATTTAATTTTTTTTAATTTTTTTAGAAACAGCAATGGTGATTATAAAGCATCTAGCACAGTGCTGGGCATGTGGTCAGTCTAAAATAAATGCTATTTTTATATTACATGTATATATTTCTATTAGTATATTGCCTTGCTTTTTACATGGTGTTTTGTATCATGGATGGGATAATCCTAGGTTGAAGTGTTTAATCACTGATTTCATACTTCCTGGTAGATTGAACAAAGTACTCAGAGACCCTGAAATAAGATTAGCTCCTGTTGTCCTTTCCCATACTGTCAGATTATTTCTAGGAAACAACCTGTGTTCTATTTTTTAAAAATCTTGAGTGCATATACTAATCTTTAATTCCAAAGATTGTGTCTATAATTAAACATTTTTCAGAGTAAAAAGGCCCTCTTACCAACTCCTATTATTCCATAAACAAATTGAGCTTTGTCCCATCTTTGCCAAGTCTTCTTTCTGCCATAGTTTTTTGATATCTCAGAGAAGCTAAGGACCACTGTATGGTGTTTATCACATACTTTAACCATAGTAACCTCAGCACCTTCAGCTTTTCTACTGGTTTATTGCCATTTTGCCTTTGTTGATGAGCACAATAGATAAAAGCACTAAATTGTTTTACTCCAATAACAAGCTTTGTTACCCCCGAAGAAAAGTCAGCTTAGCTTAGCATCTAGGCTTTGCGTCAGTAGTTGATGACACATTGAAGAGACGCTTCAAGAAATACAGCTGCAGGAGCCCAGAAAGAATGATAACAAGGCTCTGGACTGTGGACCACCTGTTCACATAGGTGTAGTTTGATTGGAGAAGGAAAGAGTCAGCCATTTTCCTCATCCGGGCAAAGTTGTAGAATCGCCATGTGTGAAAAACATTGTTCTGCACCTTCCTTGTACTCTGCTGTGGGGGAGATGATAAAATAAATGTCTTCTTGCCACCACCCTCTCCCTTCTATGCCCTGGTTGTGTGGCACATTAACCTACATTATCTGGAAAGTCAAGGAGTTTACTCGGGGTTTTAAGTTTCATAATTCTACTACAATTATTGGTAAATGATACTTATGTTGTAGTGAGAAATAGTTTATTGTTCGGGTTTTTTGGTGGGTGACTGGATTCTTTCTCTTTTTCTCTTTTTTTTTGCCAGTCGTTGGACCTGGGCACTGTCTCTCAGCTCTTTAGCTCAAGGCTAGTGCTCTACCACTGGAGCCACGTGCCACTTCCGCCTTTTTCTGCTTATGTGGTGCTGAGGAATCGAACCCAGGGCCTCAAGCATGCAAGGCAAGCGCTCTACCACTGAGCCACCTTCCCAGCCCCATAAAATGAGGGATTTTAAGAGCTCCTAATCAAAAATGCATTAAAGAGTTCAGATACCCTTGCTTTTTCTTTCTATTCATGATATTGTGTAATTTTTCAGCTTTCCTCCTAATTTAATCCACTCCATGAATGTCCCTCTTAAAACACTCCTTTACCTCAATTGCATCCAGAGTATCGTTCAGTTGCTTCCTTTGATTCTGCTTGTGGTCCATCTCAGGCCCCTCATAAAAGATGCCGAAGTTGAGGTATACTTGTGCAGAACCAAAGTGATTTTGGTCATTTCCTACACAAAGCTGATAGAAACCTGCAGGAATTTCTAGATCATTACTAAGGCATAATCTCTTACCCTGTGTTATAGCTCCCCTAGAGATACCTGACCCCAGGTTTGTTTTATTTATTTGTTTGGAGACAGACCATCACTACAAAGCCCAAGCAGACTTGGTCTTGTTATCTTCCTGCCTCGGTCTCCTGAGTACTGAGATTTTAAGCATGTGCCACCATAAATGATTTGTTCCCCAGTTTTGGTTGTTTTGGAGATTTTGTTTTGCTGGTCTTGCTACTTGAACTCTGGGCCTGGGCGCTGTCCTTAAGCTCTTTTTAAGACTAGAGCTCTACCACTTGAGCTACAGTTCCACTCTGGCTTTTTCTGTGATTAGTTGGAGAGAATCTCATGGATCTGAGGATCAAGCCAGCAGGGGCAGGAAAGTTCATGAGACACTTATCTCCAAACCACCACCAGAAAACTGGAAGTGGCAGAAAACTGGAAGTGGCGCTATGGCTTAAGTGGTAGAGTGCTAGACTTGAGCTGAAGAGCTCAAGGACAGCTTCCAGGCCCAGAGTTCAAGCTCCACAACCGACCAAAAAAAAAAAAAAAAAGATAATCTGATAGACTTTCCTGCCTGGGCTGGCTTTGAACCCCAGTCCTCAGATCTCAGCCTCCTGAGTCGCCAGGATTACAGGCGTGAGCCACCAGTGCCCCGGCAACAGCACTCTTTGATTTAGGATGCTGACTTGACATCCAACTTCTTTTGCTCAGTATTAGTAATAATTACATTTTAATAAGTATCAGTATCTTTTTAAGTCAGGCACGGGTGGCTCACGCCTGTAATCCTAGCTACTTAGGAGGCTGAGATCTGAGAACTGTAGTTCAAAGCCAGCCCGGGCAGGAAAGTCTGTGAGATTCTTATCTCCAATAAACCACTAGCAAACTGGAAGTGGCACTTAGGCTCAAGTGGTAGAGGGCTTGCCTTGAGCTGAAGAGCGCAGGGACAGCGCCCAGGCCCACAGTTCAAGCCCATGACCGACAAAAAAAAAGTATCAGTATCTAGCGTTCCATGATGGGCAGGAAACATTAACTACACACACATATGTAACTCCTACAACACTTGTTAAGGGAATTCTACTCAGCAGATTGAGTTGAAATTCAAAATATTTGGAACTCAAGGCATGGCTCAAGTGGTAAAGCTCTGGTCCTGAATAAATAGCCAAGGCTGGACAGTGGTGTGGGGCTTTGTTACAGTATTTTGAAGAGGGCTCTAGTGTCCGCATGCCTCCCTGTATGTGGTGTTGGAAGGCTGGGAGTGAATGTGGTTGTAGAATTTAAAGCTATGACAGTTTTTGAAGTTAAAAATGAGTGGAATTGGCTGGGAAGGTGGTCAGTGGTATTGCCTAGCATACATGAAACCCTGGGTTCCATTCCTCAGAACCACATACAGAGAAAGCCAGAAGTGATGCTCTGGCTCAAGTGGTAGAGCGCTAGCCTTGAGCAAATGAAGCTCAGGGCCAGTCCCCAGGCCTTGAGTTCAAGCCCCAGGTCTGTCAAAATCTCTCCCTCTCCCTCTGTTTCCCCATCTCCCCCCTCCCTCCCACCCTGCCCCTTTGTGTGTTTGTGTGTTAGTTTTGGAGCTTGAACTCAGGGCCTGGAAGCTATCCTGAGCACTAGTTCAAGCCCCACGACTGACACACACACACACACACGTGCCCACTGAAGGACTATCTAGGAAAAGCAATGGCCTGGACTTCTCCAGAACACCTGGCTAGGTAAGAGGACAGTTAGAGCAGGGGTGCTGCTCATGGGATGGCCTTGATCTGGCTGCAGGAAGGTTCTAGCTGGAGAAGAAGCTGTGTCGTTGTGGCTTGTGGACCCCCACATGTTCTGAAGCTGCTTTTGGCGGTGGCTGACGCGTGTGTTCTGATGACTTGGCAATGTGACTTGATAATTTGTTAAATGGAATTTCTGTATCACAACTGGGAGTTTGAACGGTCACCTTGAGGCCCTGGTCCCAAACGGCCAGTGGGTGGCCAGCTGATGTCCCAGATATCTCTGATCTCAGGACACGGTTTCAGTGTTGAAGGCTGAATTTTCCCTTCTACTTCACTTGCCTAAGTCACAGAGCCTGCGAATTATAGTAGCCCTTGGGAGAACAGACCTGTCTCTTGGGTAGCGAAGTTAATCTGGCCCCGAACATCCATGGAGGTGCCTATGAGAAACCCCTGCGGGGTATGCGCCGTCGCAGTAACATGGCGGTTATGTGACATCCCGAGGGTCCGTTGAACCTGCCAGTAAATCCCATTCAGGAGGAAGAAAAGGCTCATTACATGGCTAAGAAACCAGCTACATTAGAAGACGGACACGCCATGGTCATTGGCCTCAGTCAGCAGCCCAGCATGAGTATGGATGGTTCCTAACTACTCTGGAGGCTGAGATCTGAGGATCGATGTTCGAAGCCAGCCCAGGCAGGAAAGTCTATGAGACTCTTATCTCCAATTAAATCACAGAAAAGGCCGGAAGTGGTGCTGTGGCTCAAGTGGTAGAGCGCTAGCTTTGAGCAAAAGGAGCTCAGGGACAGTGGCCAAACCTAGAGTTCAAGCCTCAGGACCAGCAAAAAATAAATAAAAAATAAAAATTGCCCAGAATGCCCACGGCCGCCCTTCAGTCTCTACCCACACTGCTGATGTGATCATTTGATGGGTACAATTCTGCCCGTGGAGTGATTGGTTGGACTGGCTTGGTGGCTGAACTCTGGTGGCATTCCAGATATGGTGTTTTCTGCTTGACAGCCCTATGCCCACTGCAGACACAACAGAATGCTTGTTTCTAAACTGGAACTTCACAAGCTCTAGCTACAGCACGCTGACTAGTAGCTATTGTTCTAACATTAATTTAGATTCAAAAACCTCTGATGAATTCACTCAAAGTTCTAGTGGAGTGGAACCAGATTGACAGTGGTTCATTACTGTGTCTATAAAAAATTAGAAAGTAAGCCGAGTGCTAGTGGCTCACACCTGTAATCCTAACTGTTCAGGAGGCTGAGATCTGAGGGTCATGGTTCAAAACCAGTCCGGGCAGGAAAGTCCGTGAGACTCTTATCTCCAATAAAACACCAGAAAATCAGAAGTGGCGCTATGACTCAAGTAGTAGAGCACTTGCCTTGAGCTGAAGAGCGGAGGGACAGCACCCAGGCCCAGAGTTCAAGCCCCCACC